CAGGATTGTCCCGAGTTTTTAAAATTAGCCGTCAACGATCGTTTAACCCAAGTTAAAAATATGAAACTATGTATAAATTGTCTTCGGTCAGGTCACCTAATCAAGCAATGTCGTTCAGGTTCTTGCAGGCATTGCAAAGGTCGACATAACAGTGCTTTGCACCTAGAAAGGGTTGAACCTTCGAATACAGAACCACAGGATCAAAACAGTAGTATATCTTGTTCCTCTAGAAATGACCTACATTATGGAACTCAAGTTTTGTTATCCACGGTTTTGGTTCGGGTTTTTGGTCAAAACAATAAGGCCTATGATGCTCGCGCTCTATTAGATTGCGGAAGCCAAAGCAGTTTCATAACATCAGAGTTGGCTAGCAAATTAGGATTAAAATTGTTGGATATCAGTATTAGGGTTTGTGGCTTGAATCAAACCGAGTCCAATGTAAAATATAAAACTTCTCTACGCATTCAGTCTCGATACAATAATTTCAATACAAACATTTCGTGTTTAGTAGTCCCTGAGATCACTGGTACTCTGCCAAATTTTGCTGTCGACATTAACTCTCTAGATATACCTAACAATATTCAATTGGCTGATCCTAAATTTAATATTCCTGGCAAAATTGACTTACTCCTAGGGGCAGAACATTTTTGGAATTTAATGCACGTGGGTCAAATAAAACTTAAAAATCAGGGCGCTGTTTTACAGAATAGTAAACTTGGATGGATCATTTCGGGTTCTGTATCTCTAGGCAGTATTTCAAGCGTTCGCTGCAATCTCTCCACAAATTCAGATATAGATAAACTGCTCACACGTTTTTGGGAGGTTGAGCAGGTTTTTACCTCAAAACCCCTTTCTCAAGAAGAGAAATTTTGCGAGGCCCATTTCACAGAAAACTTGCAGCGTCACGCCAATGGAAAATTTATAGTTACCATCCCACTCAAAGAAAATCCCGAAGTATTAGGAAAATCATATGAATCTGCCAAAAAACGGTTTTTATCTTTAGAGCGTAAGTTCAAGAAGAACCCCAATTTCAAAGCAGAATATTGTAAATTCATTAACGAATATATAGCCTTGGGACATATGTCCAAAATATCCGAAAACGATAGCACGCAAATCGCGTATTATTTACCACATCACGGGGTAGTTAAAGAAAGTAGTCTAACTACCAAATTGCGCGTTGTCTTTGATGCATCTAGTCCCACAGACAGTGGGTACTCTCTTAATGATATCCAGATGGTGGGACCCACTATTCAACCTGATCTTATTTCCACACTGATCCGTTTTAGAAAGTATAATTTTGTTGTCGCTGGAGATATCGAGAAAATGTATAGGATGTGTCTTATCAACCCCGAACAAAGGCCATTACAACGCATTTTATGGCGTGAGCACCCTGACAATCCTATAGAAATTTATGAGCTAGCCACAGTAACTTACGGTACCTCCTCGGCATCCTATTTGGCCATACGATGTCTCTATCAAGTAGGCTTAGACTGTTCTGACCCTGAAATCTCTACGATAATTAAAGATCATTTTTATGTTGATGATTTTGAGAGGAAGTGATTCAGTGGAAGAAACTACTGCTATTGCTAACAATGTTTCTCAGACGTTAAAAAAGAGTGGTTTTATATTGAGAAAATGGGTTTCCAATTCACTCCAAGTTCTAGCAGGCATTCAAACCCAAGATAGTGTTTCTATGGTAGATTTCGGTGTTCACGAGAGCACAAAAACTCTTGGTTTAATTTGGGGCGCACAGTCTGACTCTTTGACTTATAACATTGCTTCATCATTCAGCAAACAAGTTACCAAACGAACCATTCTATCCGAAACGTCGCAAATCTTTGATCCTCTCGGCCTTTTAAGTCCCTCCATTATTCTAGCGAAAATCCTATTACAAGACTTATGGTCTGAAAATCGTTCTTGGGATCAAGGTCTCCCAACTTCTTTGCATACCCGGTGGCTTAAGTTTCGTAACGAATTATGCTTTTTTAACGATTTGGAAATTGAACGCCAGGTAACCTGTAAAGATTATATCAGCGCAGAACTTCACGGGTTTTCAGACGCTAGCATTCAAGCTTTCGGTGCAATTGTTTACTTGCGAACTCAAGATTCCGATGGTAGGATCAAAGTTTCCTTAGTATGCTCAAAATCCAAGGTCGCGCCAGCTAAGACGCAACCTATTCCCAAATTAGAACTTATGGGCGCATTGTTACTCACTCAACTCATGGAAAAGGTGAAATCGTCTTTAAGCATACGCATAGATCGCATTATTCTTTGGTGTGACTCCACAACAGTATTGGGTTGGATTAAGACCACACCTAACCTTCTACTGACATTTGTTGCAAACCGTGTAGCTAGGATTCAGGAGTCAACCGATAATGCCGATTGGCGTCACGTGCCCACTTCTACTAACCCTTGCGATCACGTTTCCAGGGGTGTTATGCCTGGCGTTTTATGTTCACTCGAAATATATTGGAAAGGGCCACCTTGGTTATCTGAAAATGAATCCTCTTGGCCTGTTTTGCCATATCCTGCTGAGACAGAACTACCGGAAATGCGCAAAGCTGTTCGCGCGTGTGTGCAAACTGCCGATTATTCAGAATTTGAAAAATATTCCGATTTAGATAGATTAGAAAGAGTCGTGGCATATTGCTTTCGTTTTAAAGAAAACTGCCTCAAAAATAAAGAGAAGAGATATTGCGGTCCTTTACTTTGTAAAGAAGTATTAAAGGCATCCCTCACTCTAGCTAAACTATCTCAACTAGATTCCTTTGGAAGGGAAATACAGGCTCTTTTAGAAGAAAGCGATTTAGATAACACTCAAATTGCCAAGCTTTCTCCATTTCTTGACGAGAATAATATTATGAGAGTGGGTGGTAGAATTGAGCTCTCAAATTTTCCCTACTCAAAAAAGCATCCAATTTTATTATCGGCTAAACATTATTTTACTAAGCTTCTATTTGAAAGAGAGCATGTGCGACTGCTCCATGCCGGTCCACAACAACTACTTTTTTCAATACGCGAGAGTTTTTGGCCAATATCTGCACGAAATTTAGCAAAACATACTGTTTTTAAATGCGTTCAATGTTTCAGGGTTAAACCTCGATTTTTTGCACCAATTATGGGAAATTTACCCAAAAATCGACTTAATCCTGCTCCACCATTTTTCACAACCGGCGTTGACTATGCCGGCCCATTTCATGTTAAAGATAGAAAGGGAAGGGGTTGTAAGATCACAAAGGCTTATATTTCTCTTTTTATTTGCTTTGTGTCTCGAGCTATCCACCTCGAACTAGTGTCAGATCTCGCAAAAGATTCTTTCATTGCCGCACTAAGGAGATTTATTGCACGACGCGGTAAACCTAATATGATGTACTCTGATAATGGAACAAATTTTATCGGCGCCAATTCAGAGTTAAGAGCTTTGGGTGAATTTCTTCAATCTAATGCCAAAACCTTGACAGAGGTCATTGAAAATAAAGGCATAACCTGGTCCTTCATACCTGCCCACTCTCCCCACTTTGGCGGATTGTGGGAAGCGGGCGTCAAGTCCACAAAGCACCACCTAAAGCGCGTAGCAGGAAACGCAACTCTTACTTTCGAACAGTTTAGTACTCTGTTGACTCAGATCGAGGCTGTGTTAAACTCAAGACCAATTTCTCCATTGTCCACTGACCCATCCGAATTGTCCCCTCTTACACCCTCACATTTTCTCATTGGACGGGCAATTACATCCGCAATCGATCCTGATCTGACAAGCATTCCTACAAATCGTCTAGACTATTTCCAGCAAATCCAACAGCTGCAGCAAAACTTTTGGACGCGATGGTCCCGTGAGTACATCTCCGAGCTGCAGCAGCGACAAAAATGGTTGAAATCAACTTACACTCTCAAGGTGGACGATCTAGTCCTCATCAAAGAGGAACATCAGCCTCCTTTAAAATGGTGTCTGGGGCGAGTTCTAATATTGCATCCTGGTGCTGATGGAGTCGCGCGAGTGGCGACGCTGAAAACTTCAAGTGGAACACTCAAGCGCTCGTTTTCTAAATTGTGCCCGTTGCCGATAAACTCTGTTTTGTGAATTGTAATTCGATTCGGTGTGTAGTGTGGAGGTGTAAACAGCTAAGACATGACGCGGTTATCAGCGAGTGCAGTTTTTCTTGATATTAAGAAAATCTAATGAACATTTTGGAACTTACTTTGATTTTTTATTCATTTAAATATTTGAGAAATTATTATTACTTATTAAATTTTTTTTTTTTTACTAATATTTTTCCATGTTTATATTTTGATTTTGCATAACGGATGTATTATGTTTAGGTTTAGATTTATTGAAAGTATTTTATATCCTGTGAGCTAGGTACTTTCAAAGCCGGGGGAAATGTCTTGTTTTCAAAATATTGTATTCCGTATATATTAGGTAATAGTACTAAACGTGGCAACATTGTATAACCAGTGCGAATGAAGGGTCCAACTTAGGCTGTCGGGTAGAGCTTCTAGATCGATAACACAGATAACATGCACGGTCACTTTAGTACCTACCTACGCAATTGTTTAGTTTATTACTTGTTCTTCTAAATATAGTCATTGAAAATCACTAGTAGTGTTTTAATTTAGTCAAGTAATACTAGCAAAATCGTACACATCGAGACCTTCAATATGATACCCTACTTAGGGCATAACTCGATGGGGGTAGTGTTACGTTTTTTTCAATTTGTTAATAATTTGTTAAAAGATATTTCCGGCAGCATTTGCTCTCAGGCAGGTATACAGCTTAATAGATGCACATAATACTATATATTGATAATAATGTCGACACATAACTCGATCGGGGTAGGAAAAATGCGGTCGTCTCCCAGACTATTAAGTCCTTGCAAATCAATGCTTCATTTTTCTGGATCACTACAACTTTGTGTTAATTTCGGTTTGTAGCCTTTTTTACTTTCATGCATAAAAGTTTATCTACTCAGATGTCGTCGCTTAATCTTCATTTTTCATTGTAGAATCGAAGACTTCAAAGAAAAACTTGCAGAAATGAGCGAAGAAAAGATGATTGAATCCGAAAAAACGCGATGCCACATCATCAAGGCCGACTGGGCTCCACGCCAACTTAACGAACTCGTTAATAATTACCTGACCGTGTTGCAAATTGAAGTAGAACTATTCATTGAAAGCATTCACTTTATCAACGATTATTACATGGGAATTATGAGTGGATATCCTACAGACAATGACATATACAAAGAGGAAACAATACCTAAATTCAGAGAAATTGGTAAGAATAAATTGTTTAAAACAGATTATGATGAGTTAACAATTCATTTCAGGTGCTCATTATATTAATAAAATGTTCCTAAACAGCTCTAGTAACATTGAAATAGAGGAATTTGAAGAATTATTGTGGAATGTAACGCAAAAAATGCAAAGTATTGTCAAGAAAATCAGCGGAATTGTAACGGATTGTATTGAAAAACCCAAAGGAGGTGCTTGGATGGGAACAGGCAAACAAGCTAAAAGTAAAGCGGGCAGTCAAAAATCGAAAACGACTAAAGGCGCGAAAACCCCCGAAGAATCATTATTAAAAGACGATGTTAGCAAGCTTAAAGAAGAATGGCAATGTGCTGCAAATGGGCAAACTCTAAGAATAAATTTACAAATCGAACTTATTAAAAATAGAGCTTTAGAATCGATACGAGAATTTTTAACATCTATTCAAAAATCTTATCACGAAGTTTTCAATGCGATTCGTACAAAATATTCAAACGAAATGGAAAATATTGATAAGGTTTGTAATATTTTCAAAGCAGCAGTCGAAAATGAAGTAGCTTTACAAAAGGAGTTTAGTTTTGAAGGGCATTTGTTGCGTATCAATCCTGAAGTTAATTTATATGATAATGCTCCTATAATACCACAAATGTATCAAGAAATTGTAGAAGAAGGAGCATTTACTATAGCACAATTATCAAAATTAACTGATATATTTTTGGATTTAAGCCCAAGTGGTTACATTTCAAAAGGTAATTTTATTTTCGTATTGCAAAATGCTGTCAATAATGAAGATTCATTATTGCCAAAACTATGGAAGAAATTAGTAGAGGAGACGCTGTTAAAAAAAGTTGCAGACTCTTTATTTGATGAATTAGAATATGTTTATTGGAAAGATTTCATTGTAAACAATATAAGAATTCCATTTCCTTCGGAAATGGAAATTTGTAATACAAAAGAAGCATTCAGTGAATGCGATCCAGACACTACAGAATTAATTCAAAATTATCAACTTTATTCGACAAATCTTTGGTTTGAAAATATTCAGCACCCACACCGAAATATAGACATTAAAAAACTTCTATATAAATTATATCGTATAGAAAATTATGGCTGTAACTATACAGCTATGTTGTTGGACTTTTGCAAAGCCCAAAATGCTGTTGAAGGTTTTGTGAAAGCCTTGCAGTTATTTTTAGGAAAAATGGTTTGTCGCGACACTGATATGGGCAACATTTTTAAAGAAAAATATTTAGAGTCCAAGCACCAACAAGAAGTAAATGGTAACACTACTGAAAGCGACTTGTATGAAACAATTCACCAAGAAATCAATAAATTAGTTGATGTTGTTGTGGACACAAAACTTAAATCTGAAGCTTCTTTGGTACGTGAAAGTTGTTTGAAAAGGCCTTCTGAGAAAGTTTTAGAGGTGCGTGGCAATAAATCTGTAGAATTTAAAATGATCGATTTAAAACAGGAAGAATCATCATCAAAAAGCAGTGGTACAGACGATGAAGAAGTTGAACTAGTAAATCTCTACGAAGAATCACCAGACAATAATGCCAAAACTGCCAGCGTTCAATCAGCAGAAATTATATTTGTTTTACCACTAGACGTCATTGTAACAGTTTTGGAGGCTTCAATACCGTGGCACGAGCGACTGCAAAATATAGGAGACTTGAGTTTTTGCGAAAAGGCGACAGAAATTTACGAGAAATGCAGAAAACCTGATTTGGATATGTCGGTGTTGGCACATGAGTTTTTGGACAGTGAAATGTTTCGAGATTTGTTGAATTTGACGAAGAAGTTTTGTGCTCTTGATCCTGTTGAGATAGTACAAGATGTTTTGGAAGAAAACGTTTAAATTTAAGTGCATATGTTTCTATATTTAGATTTCAGACTCAATAGCTCTCTTTCAACGTTTCAACTGACTTGAGAACCGTTCTAGATTGGTAATTTCCAGTCGATCAATTCATTTTTGTCAAGTAGAATAAACATTCAAGGGTTCAACTTATTGAAAAATAGTTGGGTAACTGGAAATTACTGGTTCTGGAACGATCCTCATGAATCTCATGTCGGTTGGAACAAAGCTATTGCTATTTATTTTATTTATACTTTATTATACCTATGTAACAGAATTAAAATGATCAATTTTTTCATTAAAACTTAATGGGCGACAGTCAAATATTCAACTAAACTCAACTCAAGTTTTGTTTTGGGTGAGGTGATGATTATTTTGAACAGTGTGTGCTGATCATTTCATCATCGTTCTGGCGCGACTATTGTCTTCATGTAGCACTGAAGCCTGATGAGAAGACTTATTGTGCTTATAGGCCAAGCAATTGGTAGATTTACCTGGAAAAGAATACAGGAGTTTTCGAAATTTGTAAAGTGGCCTCGCTTTATGACCTGAATAACATATTAAGTTTGCGATCTCGGCACGCGAGTGAAGGCAAATTATTTAAAACGATGAAAAACATTTACTTGCAGCCCGCCATTGAACTTGTTTCGCATATCGAGATTATACCCTTATAGTGTGTCCAAGGTTCAAGATAAGGATGCGATAGCATTAGGATCTGCATAACGGTTGGAGTTACAATGTTGGGTGAATTCGGAAAAAGTTACGCAATTTAACACTCAATAAAATAGTACTTTGACATTTGAAAAATTCCGAACCAATTTTTGAAGGCCGATATGAAGAGTGGATTACATTTCGAGACATAGGCGTATCCAGGGGGGGGACTGCCAGGCTGCAGCCCCCCCCCCCCCAAGGCGAGTCCAGACTATTTTTTTTTTTCAAGTGTTTTTTATTGACATGTAAAATTTTTGTACAAAAAAAATAGAAACAAAATTAATTTCTTTCTATAGTAAGGTTTTTCTATGGCGGGCGCCTAATGCAACAAGGGAATCAGTGCTTCACCTTAAGAGGCCAACAACAAGCTGTTAAAAATTGAGAAAAACGGTTGATTTCCCGAGACGAGAACTCACTTATTTTGTAATATTTTTTGACCGGATTAGAAAATAATAAAAGATAAAAATCTAAAGAATAATGCTGTTGTTTTAGTTTTTCGAAAAAAAAATTGCAAATTGAAAATATCACGACCTAAATACTCGAAAAAAAGCATCATTTCTATCGCTCGGTACATCCAAACCCATCGCTTTTTAAAAAAAAATGAAACAAGAGCATTGTTCTAAATTTTATTATCTTTTCGAAACTTCTTGATTCACTCAAAAATATTAAGTAGTTTTTGAGATCTCGTCTCAAATTTTAAGCCCTGCAAACACGGAAATTCAAAAATTTTGGCTGCAGCGAGGTGCTGCCTCTGGCGGATTTAATTTCGCACCGGGGTAAGTAAAAATTACACAACGCGAGAGGACTGCAAGGCCAGTTATTAGTTTGTGTAAATAATTATGGTGAATATATTTCATAATGAACTCAAAACGAACAAAGATAACTTTACTAGAATTCAATAAACGAAAGAGGATATCATATAGCATAGTTAAATACAGTTAGTACGTGAAGGTTAGGAATAAAATCCATCAAAAATACAAGGTTGATTTTTTTTTCAAAAAATCTCGGATACGTCGATTTTTGATTTTAGTGGCCGTTTTTTTGATGAGAATTTCATACATTTGTCAAAACTGACATACCAACAATAAACTAACATGTTTTGATTGTTGATTTGAACCAATCAGATTGGAATTACGTGATAATTTATATTAGTGTAAATTATTGCATAGTAACTAATGCGAGAACTGGTGTTTTGACAAAAAATTTGAATTTTTGATTCATGAAATTTTTTCATAAAATACAGTGTATCCACTTAAGTTCGCAGCACATGGGAAACTTTTTTATTATCAATTTTACGAAAAAAAGTTATCCTTTATAAGAGTTTCTGCTTCTTGAAAAAATAATATCAAACTATGTATTAAAAGTTGAAATAGCATGTACAGGGTGGTCAAAAAATAGAAAAATATACAGGGTATTTCCTAAGTACGGTCCGTAACTTCAGGATGTCATTCCTTACGATATTTTAACAAAAAAAGTTCCCATAAATATGTGACCAGAAATGCGTAGTTTCTGAGATTCAGGGTGTCAAAGTTTTAGAAAAAAATCGTTTTTTTAGCTCAAAAATTTTTCCATTTTTTTTTTTTTTTTAATTTGGCAGGTTGATTTGTGATACCGAAAGGTTTCTTTTGACTGAAATATGACTTGCTTAATGTGAAAAAAATATCAAAGGTTTAAAAAAATAGTGATGTGCCATTTTTTTTCTACTTTTACCAAAAAACCCTGCATATTTTCCTATTTTTTAATCCCCCTGTACCGGGTGTTTTTTTATCTTCGATATCATTTTGATCACCTGTAACTTTTTTGTTTTTGAAGTTATCAAGGTAAACAAAAAAACAAAATGTAGGGTTAGTAGCCAAGTTTTTTTTCAAATTACACGTAAAACAAAACACTATCAACTTTTTGACATATAAGCCTACATTATATTTTTTCAAATGGAACACCCTGTATATTATATATGTGTTCGATATAATATCTTATTCTGATTACAATGATATAGCACACTTCATATTTTGGTCCACTCGTTTTTGACAAATCGGCAAAAATATGAAACTTTCGAAGTGAAACTTATTAGGCGGCGCGGTCTGATATTTGGGACGAAAATTATTGGGAGCATATAAAAATTTCATATATTTTTGCCGATTTGTCAAAAACGAGTGGAACAAAATATGAAGTGTGTTATATCATTGTAATCAGAATAATATGCTCTAACGTACACACATATAATATACCGGGTGTTCTATTTAAAAATAGTACATTAAAATACAAGCTTCATAAGACGTGATTTTATCGCACGAGCCCCATATTAGAAAACGAGCCGGAGGCGAGATTTTTAAAGGACGAGTGCGATAAAATGTCTTATGAAACGAATATTTTATACTATTTTTTCTATTCTGGTATTGTTTAATTAAAAAAAAACAAATTTTTCTTGGAAATTTTATTCTCATATTTCCTGATTTCATGTTTAGGTTGGTAACATTACATGCCAAATATAGAATTAAGGGCGGGTATTATAAAACTACTTTGGGAGTTAACTTAAAGTTAATTTTTGAAATTACATGTAATTCAAAAAGTTAACTTTAAGTTAACTGACTGTCAAAGCAGTTTTATAATACTCGCCCTAAATCTTCTATAAAATCGAGAATGACAGTGCGATGGCCATCAGTCAGCCAGTGTTACCAACTTCCGATAAGTGAAAAAGGAGTGTCACAAAGAGCTTCTTTTCGAAACTACTTTTAGTGTCGAAAAGACTTCGATATGAAACCAAAATAAAAAATAGCTATTTATACAATAAGTTACGAAATGAGCGTCTTTTAGGCACGCGACGTGAAAATTGTCCAACGAGGCAAAGCCGAGTTGGACAACACGTCGAGTGACTAAAAGACATCGTTTCGTAACGTATTGTATACAAGATTTTTTCTACTGGCATTTTATAATAAAAAAACACAATTTTATTTCATGTGAATAAGTCGATTACACCCAAAATCTTTGTTACCTGCTTTTACTTGACACCTGACACTTTTCATGCGATTTTCTTTTCAAAATTCGACATCAATAATTAAAATCCTAGAAAGTAGGTAATGACACAAACTTCTGTTTTGAGTAACCCAAACGTTCAATTCAGTAATTCCATTTTCAATATTCATAATAAATACAAAACAAAATTCAAATATGTGTTTAGTGTGTTTTTTATTTCTGAATAATGAATGACACTTTTAGGCACTAGTGCTTAAAAATTACTTTTACGCACTCATAAGTCACTTTTACGCATTCAAAAGTCACTTTTACGCACTGAGTGCCTAAAAGTAACTTTCACGCACTCAGTGCCTAAAAGAATGTCGTTTCAAAACTGAAATGACAATCGAAAAGTTGCTATTATGAAACGTCAGTAGAAAAAATATAATGTAGGCTTATATGTCAAAAAATTGATAGTGTTTTGATGTTTTGTTTCATGTGTAACTTGAAAAAAAACTTGGCTATTAATCCTACATTTTGTTTTTTTGTTTACCTTGATATCTTTGAAAACAAAAAAGTTACAGGTGATCAAAATGATATCAAAGATAAAAGAACACCCGGTACATGCTATTCTAAGTTTTAATAGTTTAATACTATATATTTTTTCAAGAAGCAGAAACTTTCATAAACAATAACTTTTTTTTGTAAAATTGATAATAAAAAAGTTTCCCATATGTTGCGAACTGAAGCGGAAACACTGTACAGGGTGGCCCGTTTAAGAGGGGCCTATACCTTATCTCGAAATCTACAAGGTTTGCAGAAAAAAATTAAATACAAAAGTTGTTTCTAATAAAATTATCTACATTTTTTTTTCATTGTTTTTGTTGTTACTGTACTATATACAGGGTGGAGAGATAAAATTTAATTTTTTTAAATGGAACACCCTATATCGTAATACACTTTTACATAACCCTTTGAAAGACAAAACCAACGATATACTGGACATGTGTCTGTGATAAACCGTTTCGAACTTATTAGCGATTATCTTCAGGGATTCAGGGTAATTTTGAACAGGCATTGTTATTACGTTACTCATAAACTTTTGAAACTTTTTTTTTGCGTGATATTTTTTATAAAATGATGCTCTTTTTTAGACTATACTGAAATTTAGCAAAATGTTACGCTTTTCAATTTTTTTTAAATGGGACATCCTGTAAATTTTCGAATTTTTGGATAGCCTTTTAAAATACAAATTCAACGATATACTGGACATGGGTCTGTGATGCACCCATTTTGGCCTGATTGGCGTTTATCTTCAGTTCTAGCACAATATTTCATGTCATCCCTGATGAATAAAAAACAATGTCCAATTTTGCATTAGATTAGCTGAAATAGTGCTTTTTATTATTATTATTTATTCAAAAAGTAGTCAAAGTTTCTCCCCATTATTAAAATAAAAAAGGCGAGAAATTTGGATAAAAACAAAAAATGAAACGTGACGCTGTGTTGCTATATTTGTCAGATCAACCTAATTACGTGTTAAATGCGATAACACATTTACAAGTAAGATATATTACCTGTATTGTTGAAAATGGCGGACACAGAGAATTTAATTAAATTAATTTTATAGTTAGCCTGAAGTTGAAGTTCTCAAAATGTTTGTTTATTTAATCTTAATCAGTAACCTTTATTTTGGACTTTATAATTCAATGCTTTCCTTGTTTACTGCAACTATAGTTTATTGCAGTA